TATATTATTTCAGCAGTACTGAAAGGCATCCAAAGTCAGGATCCAAGCTGGGACACATTACAATCACAATTCACATTCTAAAAATCTTCCAAAGGAGCAGGAAATCGTCCTTCCACCCTTTAGTGGTTTGCTTTGTGCAATATCTTACTCAGAGCAGGAGGAAGCTTTCCTCTACACAAAAAAATTAATTACATCTAAAATGACAAATAATTCTACAGGGCTTATGGTAGAAATTCCATAGTAGCAGGGGGGGGGAATTTTCAGTACAAGAGGGTTTTTGTATACTTTGAAAGAACTATAGTTATTTTAAATTAAATAGTTGAACCTTTCTCTTGCATTATGTTTTATGAAAACCAGCCTTTTTAAAAAACACATTGACTGTTTATGCAGTGTGTGACTCTGAGATATAGTTTTTATATAGCTATATAATTTCATGTGTCAAATATACTTGCCCTACACATTAACCATTTATATATGCACATGTAAATAATGTATCTATAGTATCTAAATAATCTCTGCCTCTTTTTTTCAGCATAAACAATGTGTATACCTACTGTGTAGCCTCATGGTCACTGTTTTTCCTCTGTTCCAGTGCTTATGTACCAAAGACAGCAGCAGGTCACTGCAAGTGGGCAGAAGTTCTGAAAGATTTGGAGCAGATCAAGACATCCAAAGTAAGTTCATGAAAAAGTCAACATTTCATATAATGATAGAAGCAGACATAATTAAATATTTAGCATTGTACTCTGCTAGGAAGTGTCAGTGACAGGGAACAGGAAAAGGGATGGTGTTTGTATAATGCTGTTTCATGGATGGAAGCAAAAGAATAGAAGGTTAAACGAAATTGAAGTTGACCAAATACTGCAGACTCTAGAATTAAATATTATTTTCTTTCTCACTTTTCCTAAGAAAAGGGGCAGTGGGCTTAGGAGTTAGCTCCTTTGGAGAAAGTACTGTGGGACTCGATTCTGATGAGTCTTCCTCACAGTGAAGCCCATCCTGCAGGTTACTAGGTGACTTGAACATCCCCTGACTTGCTGGCTCCAGTACCTGGATGGACTGGGCCTTTGACCTTAGAGCTAATCCATGTATTACAGAGTTAGCTTTATTACCTCTAAATCTGTTAGTATTTATAATTTTAACTCTTGTTTTCTTTTAGGACATTGATGTCAGTTTATATACTGCAAACACAGATGAGGATGTAAGTAAATTTGACCACAACTGGTCTAATATGGTAGCTTCATTTCTTTACTAGCAACTTTCTCCCAAGGCAGCCTTAATTTAAGAAAATGATATTAAATTATTTGCCTTGGAAGGAACATTTCTGTTCATTACTTATGATGAATTATGTAAGCAGGTATTAATAATTTTTATTTAATCAGTCGCTATTAAAATTAATCCATTAAAAGAGATGATCCAAAATAATCTGTTTTAGCAAACACTGCTAAAATGTTGGTATTCATTTATAATTTGAGGTTGGGAAAAAGTGACAAAGAAAATACTTCCAAAGATTATTATTTAACAACATGCATTATTTAGTGCTGGAGAAGTGGAATATAGAGAGTAACTGTCAGCATCTACCTGTGCATTTCTCTGCTTTTGCCATTCCTTAGCTTAGGAGCAAATACCTAGGTATGCCCAAGGATTTAGTTTTCTAATAGTTGGAGATTATAATCTATACTGCAAAGGATGAATTATGTTAATAATATAATTCTTAACACAATCATAGAAATCTATGCAAAATATGTTAATCTTAAATGCAGTTTCCGTAAATTCATTCCTGAAGAGACTTTTTCATAATCTGTTGCTGTGTTGTTCTGTCTACACTCCATGGGACACATGCATCCCACCAAGAAAATGAATCCAGCCAATACCCCACTCCTAGCAGTCACCTTTGATATAACCCTGGTGGAATTGGCTGGGTCCATTGCTGTGGTAGTAGCCTGCTTCTGAGATACTGCTTTTCTGACAACATAAATGTTCACACAAGGACTGTGCCAAACACAGACAATACATGAATCTTGCACGTAAAGAGTTAATGAAAGCTTTGCTAGAAATGATGGACTGAGTGCCTCAGTGCAGAATAGTCTCATGTGCATGCAGAATACAGTAACATTGATGTGTTCAGTGGATCTGGCAAGCCTGAGAAAGCAGAGTCTGATGTGACTGTACAGTTAGACCTGTACATGACAGGAAAAAAAGGTCACAAAATGCACGTCCACATCCACACACACATTCTCTTAACTGAACTGAGCCAGAGAGGTTAATCCACTGTAACATCTGATTTAATACCTAGTAATGTTGGGAAGATTTTCTTAAAGAGGAACAGTCGGATACAAAAGTCAGATAACCTGGGACTTATTCTTGGCTTTATTGCTGATGGTGAAATAAGTACCTTCACTTCTTTTTTGAAATTTGTGAAATACAAGTAGTATCTACTTTCTTCTCCCCTACCTGTTCTGAATTCAGATCTCTGAATGCAAATCCTAGAACTACTAGGAATAATACTAATTTAATTCCACTACTTTTAATTATATCTGAAATTCTTATCCTAATTCTTATTTTCCTGTGTTCTTCACTGAGACACTTTGTTTCACCTCATCTTAGCAAACTGTCTGGCCTTTATGTTGTTAGCTCTCACAGCCAATCTTCGGAGGTATTTAAAAATATTTGTATAGTAAGAAGACATATCCCACAAATAAAAATCAGCCACTTTGTGGTAAATTATATCTTACATTCACTTATTCTTTTTTAATTGTAAAACTATTACAACTTTATGTGTTTCAGAAAGAATGCCAAATACCTGTAATGAGATGCTTTTTCTTAGAGATGAAAGTGGTTGTTCACGAATGTCGTATCAAAAATTGTAGTAAAACACAAGATGTATTGAACATATGGAAAAACGGAAAAGCAAGCTTAGAAAATAGTAAGGTAAGTAACAGTAACTTTCTGTGGAAAAAAGGCAAATCAAAAGTGTTTCTTCGGCAGCAGAAATAGAGTCATATCCTGCTTTAATCTTGCATTTTCTATTTCAGTTGAACTCCACAACGTCAGTGAAATGCAAAGAATGTGAAGAGTATGAAGAAAAAGATTTTACAGAATTTATACAAAGTTTTGTAAAGGTTATACAGAGGGAATGTAAGCACTGACCAAAAGATGCAAGCTGGGAACCAAGATGCTTCCATGAATATGCCTGAGAGAAATTAGATTATCACCAACAATAAGCTGGAATTAACTTCAGTTACAATCCTACTTACATAGCTTAACAAGTAAACAAAGATTAATAAAATCTCAGTAATACACCATGTATTCATAACTGAATGCATAAAAATTATATTAGTTACAAAATATAAATGAAAGGAATTTAACAAGGTTTAAAGCTTCTTCTTGTCTTAAGTGCTTTATTTTTGGTAAGTCCACCAGAAAAGAAATCCTGCCTAATTTACTAACCTTTCAGAAACACTCTTTAAGAAGATAAGGATATCAGCAGTGGGAACCTCCTCATGAATCTCAGGGCTGACTGAATGGGGTTTCAGAGAAAAGTCTTATTTTACTATCATTAATATAAAATAATAATACCACATGAAAGCATTTGGCTATTTTTGTTATTGGAAATCTATCCTTTTACTACCTGTGCTCCTAGAAGGTCCTAGCTCATCTCTCACTTTTCTGTTCATCTCTCACATGTCTGGCAGTTTTCCTTGCTATTTTTTTTCTCATTAACATTCCTTCAGCAAACTAGTGTCAAAACACCACCTGAGGCCTATGTGTCTTGAAGGTCTATTGGCTATCTCTTAATATATTTATTTCTACAATGGTTTTTGGGTAAAATCTATTACTCATTAAGAATTCAAAGTAATAAAAAATTAGAATATTTCTTTAAAGATTCTTTCCTGCCTTTTTCCCTTTTGTACAATGGTAGAATAAAGATACTGAAATTTATCTTCAGTCTTCTCAACAGAAAGTTATGCTGGTGCTTGGTTCCACTGTTCAATGACAGAACACGCTTTGTTAGTTCCTTTGTTACCTCTGACACAGACACTACCTTAGTCATTATAGGAGTTACTACAGTTCCTTTAGCAATTACCGAAGATTGCAATCTAAGTTTAAACCAAAGAAAAGTGGCATAAGTTTCCTTCTCTGAATAAAGGAGATGACCTCTTGCACACTTAAAAAAGTGATTTTATGTGTTAGAAATCTTTCCTATATAGTAAGGTTTGTAACTTTGGTCTCCTTTTGGGATAAGAACTTTGAAGGCAGGAATCCCTTTTGACCAGCTATTGGAAATCATGATACCTGTATTTCTAAGACTCAGTGCAAAGTCACCTGTCCCCTGGTAGTTCTGAAACATTACATAGTCTTCTTTCAGCTCTTTCTAAAGTAACTGCTTTCTTTATGATTCATAACCATGTCATACCAACTGTTATCCATCATAAGTAATTCTTTGCTCTAGGGACTCCATTTCTCCATCTTCATTTGATAAATGGCTGAGTCAATCTGCTGTCCTCTTACCAGGAAGGAAGTCTCAATCTCATTATGGCAACAAATACCCTGGTACTCCCTTATTCTTGGGTTACTCCCAGCAGTCAATCTTCAGCACTCTGAGGAGCTGAATCTCCAGTAAACTACAAGAGAAAGAACATAAATGTAAGCACAGTGGATGTTGTCTTCCAGGTGACTTATAGACTGAAAATCAGTTACCTAATTAATTTTATTCTGTGCTTGATTAAATCATCTACCAGTGCCAAGTACGTCAAATATTGCGCATTTGTCTTTCCGAAAGGGTATTGCTAAGTCTGTGACCACTAAGCTTGCCATTCTGTTAGCCACTTTCTGTTGGACATTGACCATATCTCGTTTATTTTGTTTCACCTCCGCCTGTTTCAGATAGATATTCTAGAAACAAAAAAGGCCATTTTCTGATCTAGTTCTCCAGTATTTCTCCTGGGGTTTTCCTGAGAGCTAAGCTGCCAATTGAAAGTGTTACTATATCCTGAATCCCATGTTCATAAGAAATGATCTGAGCAGTATAAAGGATGGACTAAATTAAGGCCACGTTGGTATTTGTTTTGGTGAGTGAGTTCATACATATCCTGGAGGAAAAGATTCAATGTGACTAAGACATGCATGAATATGATCTGACTTGTTAGTACTGCAGGCAGAGCAGTAAAAACTAATTCAGGGTACCTTCTTTTGGAGTAAACATCTCTAGGTTGAGGAAGGTATTTCTTCTACACAAAGTCTAGTCATGTATGTGGTATTTACTACCTAATCTTTTTCAGCTACTGTTGATAAATGTTAAGAAAAAGATTAATACTGTATCTTCTCCAATTAATCCAACTCTGTTTGGAACTAAGGTGACTCATAGCACAGTATTTCAATGTTCAGAAGGAAAAATAACTTCCTTTTGATACCAGAAGAGAAGAATAATGCACTTTCACATAAGTTATGGACTACAGAATTCTGTGTTCCTGACTTTGCAATAATTGAAAATCTATTTTTCCTTTCCTGGTATTCCATATCTATATTTCTGTCTATATTTTAACAGGATAATGAAAGTAGCAGCAGTGCAGATGATGTCTGACATCATCTCTGCCTTCTTGTTGTTTTATTGGATCCTGAAGATAAATGTTGGTTTCCATCAAAAGAATGTTGCCTCCAGTGGCTTCAAATATTTGAGCACCTGTTGATCAGGTACTGTGCAGATAATTTCACAGGAGGTGTTTAAAGTCTGCTCTGGATCAGCACCAGTGTATTTATACAAGGACTATTAGCTGTAAAACCTCCTTCTTAAATCACATAAAAGAATTCAAGCAATAATTTCTTCAGTCCAAATTTTCTTTTAAGCAGTACATCTACACTGCATGATCAATAGATTTCAGCTTCTCCCATGTCTGTCGATCTTTCTTTCACAATTACAGATCACAATAGGTCTTATCAATTTCATTTCCCTAGTAGACATTTGGAGCTTAAAAGTAGCATCTAACAATTTCACCCTAATTTTTTAAGTCAGTTCAATTTCTGACTAAGATTATACAGTGATTTAATTAAGCTAGTAATATGGCATTATCATGGTTGAGTACACTGTGGGAGTATTCTTTGCTACCCAAAGTAAGCTTTTACATCCTGAGTGGCCCTTCTTAGGCATTTACCTATGTGGATGCATAAGTCTGTAATAATTAATCACTGCCTAGAGGTACTGGTCTTTTTGTCCCTCCTTTAACCAAGGAATGTTATTTTAATAGGCAAGATGCCATCAGTGAGAAGCCAGCAGCCATGGGAACCTTAAGAGCGAGCAAGGTACTCACTTGAGTAATGGTATGAGTGGTTTCATCTTTTTCTCCATTCAAATTCCATTTAAATAATTTATATAAGTGTTCACTAATGGTAGTTCATTTGGAAATGAGAACATTGTGAAAGCCAGAATCATTAATGGTAGTGAAAAAAGGCAAATTCTGAGTTGCAGCTACCTGTTTTGGGGGAAATGTAAGAAAAAAACCTGAACTCTTTGCCTGCAGTGAAGTAGCTGGGGCTCAGCAGCAATTTCAGAATATCCATCTTGTTCATATGGCTACATGAGAAAAATAATAGTTAAAAACATATTTTAGGATCCATTCCAGCTCTATGTGGCAAAAGCTCAGAGACAGAATGAACAATTGAGCAAGTCAGCCCAATGTACAGTGGTACACTTACAAAGGAATACAAACAGTGTATTTGCTATATATGTGTTTCAGCTGCTTCAACTCTCCAACCCAGGGTCCAGATCGGAGGTTTAATAAAAGCCGAGGATAGCTACTGTAGAAGCCAGTACAGTGTATGCTGATTTAATCTGCTGAAAGCAACAGTCTGCTCTTTCTTTGTATTTCCTGCTGCAGCTTTCTGAACAGGCCCAACAGAGATTTCAACAGAGATTCAGTTGGGGTTGTTTTTGTAAGTCTAGTTATTACTCTATATTGTCCAAAATGGACAACATATTGTTTAATACAGTCTTTGTTTCCCAAGAAAAATCTGCCTTTCATTTACCCAGAAAAATGCACAATTACTTTTTGGCCAACCCAATATTTTGTTAGCAAGACAAAGGACATTTCCATTTACATGGAAAATTACTGCCCAGCAGGTTATGGCCTCCATGTAAACTTACTAGGACACAGGTATGTTGCAAATTAGGTTCTATGACACAGAGCACTAAAAATCATATTATACCCATTCCAAGTACATAAATTACATGTACAATTGCTAGCCTACTCATTTGTCTAGACCGCTGCATCACAGATATTCCAGTGTTCCCCAGGGCTCTGTTTTGGGGC